TGTGGTCTGGCCCTGAGTGCCCCTCAGCGTTGTGTGGGCTTGGAGAAGACTGCTGCCAGGTCACTGGGTTTCAGAGGGCCAGGATGGGAGCCTGGGCCGAGCTTTCCTCAGCCCTTTGTGGCCTCTATCGTTATTTTCAAAATCCTCAGGGCCCACATAGATAAGGAAAAGGACTCAGTCCCTGTGAGAGGCTTTGAGCACCCCCTGCATCACCAGGCACATTTGGAGGTGGACAGAGGCCCAGAAGAGTCTAGGCAGATACCCCCACCTGGAGAGGTACGCATATTTCTTATGAGGGAAGGGAAAGTGTCTGTCACAGCAATGACAGACACTTTCCCTTCCCTTTCTCTTTTCCTTCCTTCCTTCTCCTTTCTTTCCCTTTCTCTCTTTCTCTCCCTCTCTCCCTGTCTCCCTCTCTCCTTCTCTCTCTCTCTTTCTTTCTGACAGAGTCTCACTCCGTAGCCCAGGCTGGAGTGCAGTGGCACAGTCTCAGCTCACTGCAACCTCTGGCTCCCAGGTCCCAGTTCAAGCAATTCTCCCGCCTCAGCCTCCTGAGTAGCTGGGATTACAGGCACGCACCACCATGCCCAGATAATTTTTGCATTTTTAGTAGAGATGGAGTTTCACCATATTAGCCAGGCTGGGCTTGAACTCCTGACCTTGAGATCTGCCCATCTCGGCCTCCCAAAGTGCTGGGATTACAGCAGTGAGCCACCACACCTGGCCTTATTTATTTTTTTAATGATAGGGTCTGGCCCTGTTGCCCAGGCTGGAGCACAGTGGTGCAATCACAGCTCACTGCAGCCTTATACTTCCTGGGTTCAAGCCATCTTCCTGCCTCAGCCTCCCAAGTAGCTGGGATTACAGTTGTGTGCCACCACACCTGTCTAATTTTTAAATTTTTAGAAGAGACAGGAGTCTCACTGTGTTGCCCAAGCTGGTCTCAAACTCTCAGCTTCAAGTGATACTCTTGCCTCGGCCTCCCACAGTGCTGTGATTATAGGCCTGAGCCACTGTGCCTGGCTTTCCTTCTTATATCTTTATTGTTTTGCTGACTACACAGGAAACAGATGCTCTTGTAAAATTTTCAAGCACTACAGAAATTAACTTAGAAAGTAAAAGAAAATCCCCTTTGATTTGGCTCAGCCACTCTTCAGAGAGAACCACTATTGTTCAGTTGTATTTTTCTAAATATTCTGTAACATACATACGTCATTCATAATAAAAATGGGCTTATACCATATAATAGGGTTCTGCTACAGTTTTAAGCAATATCTTAAGAATACATCTCGGACGTTTTTCCATGTCACTGCAAAAGCTTCACTTTGCTCTATAATGCTCCATTTTAGAGATGACCATATTTATTTTTCTGAAGCACATTCCTCCCTCCGCCCATTGAAATTGTTAGTAATTCTGAAGAATACTGTAATAGACATGCTTGTTCGTGTAACTATGTGCACACATATGGGTATATCTCTGTAGGTTACACTCCTGGAAGTGAGTAGGATGTTCAACTTGGTCCCATGAATGTCTGCTTGCCCCTGGAAGAGAACGTATCTTATCTCTTCACTCTTAGTTGCTTCCAAAGGAGTAGCAAAAGCTAAGGCATTTCTCTTTGGAGCCACAAATTTGCTGCTCACAGATGGTCAGCAAAATAGGAGCCCAGTGGCCTGTCCGATCGGAACCACAAATAAAAGACAGTGTGGACTCTGAATGAGGCATCTCTCAGCCACCTGGATCCTTTAGAGTGGGAAAGTTCCTGATGCAGAAGTGGCCGGGAAGCCACAGAGTAATGGGCTCAGCTATGTAAGGCCACATCAGGTCCACTTGGAGCATGGAGGTGATGTGTGCAAGAGCCCTAGACCCCTCCAGGGTCATTGGGTGGGCTTGGCTGCCATCTTCCCTACCCCAGCCTTTGAGAGACAGCGTTGGAATCCTCCCAAGTACGTGCCCTTGGCTGCCTGCTGAGGCAGAGTTGGTGGGGTGGTACCAGGGTTTAGGACACCAGATTCCTGGTTCCCCTCTTTACCTCTTCCTGCTTTGCTGTGTGATCTTGTGAAAATAATTTTGCCTCTTTGAGTCGCAGTTTCTCACGCTCCAAACATACACTTCTTCCCTTCTCTACCACAAGGCGACTAAGAATTTGAAAAATAATCCAACTCTTTAGGGGATGGTGGCTTTTTCTGTTTTGGAATGGGCTAAGGGTCCTCCTGTCCCCATCCCCCCTCTCCTTGGGATCCAGCTGCCTCCTAAGGTCTCTGTCTTTGTTTGCTATGAGCCAGCATCCAGAAGGGGTGGGGAGGTGGCTCCCACTCTCTGGGGGCTGTGATTAATTGGGCTCCAGCGAGCTTACTTCAGGGACCTGGAGAGCTGCAAGGGAGAGTTCTCTCAGGCATCTTTTAAGATTGCAAGTGGTGGGGGGCAGTCATAGAGTTGGGAAGAAACCCCACTTTGAAAACGGAAGCCAGAATTGGTAGGAGAGAGGCCTCAATAGGGCCGGGAGCACCTCAGGCAGTGCGGTGTTGGGCTCATCTGCAGCCTCTGGGTGTCCAGGAGGGGAGGAAGGTCTCCCAAAGCCTAACTCTAGATCCTTTTGTGGAATTCCAATTTGGCTGTGTACATATTTTCCTAAGTCACCTCTTTCATCTCTGGTGTTTTAATCCTCATTGCCTTCCTTCTCTGTTGGGTCCATGGCACTTTCTTGGGACTTCCCTGAGGCTGAGATACAGAGATGGCAGTGGGAGACTGATGGACAGGGAAGGAGATGCAAGCATTGAGCTCCCCCTTTGTCCGGAGCAGGAGGGAGCCAGAGGCACGATTTGGGAGACTTTGAAGATCTTGGGTTTGGTGGTAGCTTAGCTATACTCTAGCCAAGCCAAGGACCCCATTTTGGGATACACGAAACTGCCCATCACCCCCAAGGCTGGGTTGGGGGCTTTTCTTTGGGAGAATGAGAGGGAGACTAGTACCTATCATCATGGAAAAAAAAAAAAAACCTCTTCCAAACCAGGCAGGTGTCCAGGAGCCAGAGTGGGGAAATAAACGCTGGGCAGGAACCAGTCCCACCACTAACTTGCTAAGTGACCTAGGAAAAGTCAACCCCTGTGTCTGTTTCCTCATCTGTCCAAGGGGAGTTATGGTCTGCGCAGCAGCCTCACACCTTGAGCAGGTGCAGTTGGGTTTTGAAAAGTAAAATGTCTCAGATGAACCTAAGGACCAGCATGGTTACGGCCGGTGCCCTCGGTTGTCCCTCTGAGAATGGGGAAAGCAGAACTGTGGAGTCCTCGGTTTATAGCTGACTCATCGAGCAGGAGGCCAGTGGTGTAACCTTGGCCGCTTGGTAACTTGCCTTGAATCACACAAGACTGGTGCAGATAAACTGGCAGGAGCCTCCTTAGGGAATGTGCATGTCATCTGGAATACTAAAAGGCTGCACTTCTCTTAGGAGAGCCCTTTGTACCAAGGGAATTTTATGGCAGGAGCTGGGGATTGGAAATGCAACCCCTCTTTAGCCCCATTTTACAGATTTAACAATCTACCCACCTCCTCGGTAATTCATAGGCAGATCACAGTCCTAACCCAGGTATTCAAATGCCTCCTCCCCCTGCCCCTCCAGCTTTCTCAGTTGGCTCCAAAGAAACAAAATCTCACCCATTAGCCTCTCCAGACATTAATCCCTGCCTCCCCATAGCACTCTGGGCAGAGGATCTCTGTTTAGACACCTCCACACCCGGCCGAGGCGAGGAAGGGAGGAGGGAAGAATGGATTGAGGCACACCTGATACTCCTCTGTTTTCCAACCCCCTTGCTCTCAGACCCCAGGATAAACTCTCTGAGCCACCACTCTCTCCACCACTCACCACCCCACACAGATCTGGGATAGGGGCCTGAATGACAGGTATCAGAGCCCACAGGGCTGAGCCTGGCCCCCTGGGGGGCTGTGCAGCACAGTGGTTAAGAACTTGTGTTCTGGAGACAGCCTCTGTCTTAGCCTTTCCCATTGGTCTCCCTCTGGGGTCAGCCCCTCCAGGAGCTACCCCAGGGGAGGGTAGCTACAGACCCCACAAAATGTCTGAGATGCCAGGAGGTGTTGCTCATCTTAGCCAGGTCTGTGCGCAGAGAGGGAAATCAGATCACTTATTTTTTTCAGAGTGACAGAAACAGAATCTAGTGATATCAGAAGCCTCTAAAGGGGGCCATTGTTTATGCCTGAGTCAGACCACCACAGACTCTTGAAAACTCAGTGCTGGGGGCTACCTCCAGGACAGGTCATTCGGTCTGGCCCTTGCTTTTTGGGTGAGTCAGTGTCAAGACCACACAGAGCAGAGGGTTGGTCACAGAGGCAGTGAGGGAGGTACCTCCCCCTACCCAGAGCCGAAGTCACCAAAAGCACCCAGGATGACCACTCTGAGGGAACAGGTCTGGGGCTGGCATCCCAAAGCTGCCCCCACCACACCCACTACTGCTGTGTTGGGAAATCCACATGCCTATGGGGCTGGCAAATGGACAAAGGAAGTCAGGGAGTGTTCAGGGCCCCCAGTGCCATTGTCCACTTCTGCTCCCTCCCAACCAAGCTGGGGAGGCCAAGTTTCCCATCACAATCGCCTAGTTTATCCCAGCCTCCAGCAGGGTGACAGGGCTAACGTGACATTCAACAAAAGGGGAAGAGGAGGAAAGAAATGAGTGGGCTTCTGAGATCTGAGGCTGGAGCCCCTGAAGGCAGGGGAAGTGGGAGAGATGGTAAGGGGAACCCGGAGGCCTTCCCAGCCCGGGCCACCTCTCGGGAAAGCTCCCACTTGCTCAGAATGAGGCTGTAAGTGGTGGTGGGCTCTGGGTCATTCTATGCTAGGGAAGAAAAGTTACTGACAGTTGTCCCCAGAGGTGAGGGATGTCTCCCAAACTCGGGACCTTGACCCCAGCAGGCTCTGCGACCAGACCACCTCCTGAGGGCAAGCGTGCACCCGCCCGCATTCAGCGCCGCCCCTTGCCCCCTTACCGCAGGTCCCCTGGGTGCCAATGGGCACAGAAGTTGAGAGCTTTACTGACCGTCTGCGTCAAAGTGCTTCCAGATTTCCAGAAACTGGGATGCCGTCACCTCGGCCAGGTGCAGGTAAGGGGGCTGCTGCTGCGGGCCAGCCATGGCGAGCCGCTCGGAGACCTCAGCCTGCACCGCTCCCGCTCCGCGCTGGCTCGACTCTGGCACTGGCGCTCGCGCTGGGGCTGCGCGCCACGGCGCCCTTATATATGCTCCGGAGCCTGCGCCCGCGCCCGGCCGCCAGCAGGGGGCAGGCGAGCTCAGGGAATCCGGCCGGGGCGCGGCGACGAGAAGGGCTTGGCCTGGACTCCTGCGGGGCCCTCACCTCTTCGCTGAGACCTCTCTGCGCCGGGCCAGGGACAGCTGGAGGCTTTTCGGTGAAAATGAGGGAGAGGCTGCCCTTGCCTCCTTCGTCGTAGTAACAGCACTAATAGTAATACTAACAGCAATTTGACAAATATTTAGCACTCAGGCCCCGGAGTTCACTCAATCTCTCGCGCCTCCGCTCTCCTGATCCTTTCATAGCAGGAAAAGCAGGGACCACTTTTCTGATGAGGTACTTGTGACTTAAGATAATTAGGTGACTTGCCCAGCAAATTAGTTGCGGAGCTAGAATTTGAACTCAGCACTCTTTCCACACCCCACGTGGCTCCTTCATGGGGCCCAGTCTTGCAGAGCAGCCAAGAGTTCTCAAGGCTTTATTTATTTAGTGGGGAGCAGCTGGAACCAGCAGTGCCCCGGGAGGATTCCGATGGGAGTGGGGTGGGGCAGGGAGGCTTCCACTGTCTGTTTGCGTCCTGGTATATCCGTCCTCCTGGGAGCCTCCCTCTACCCCTGGTACCTGCCTCACCCTGGCCGTGGCTGGGGGGCTTTTAGACATTTGGCCAGGGCGTGGCAGAAGTAGATCAACCCGTACCAGGTCTTAACCACGCCCACCTAGGGAAATCGTGGGAATGGGCCTGCTGCAGTGGGCAGAGAACAACCTCCAACTCTGTCTTGGGGATGTTCTGAGCTGGTCTCAGAGGACACATCCTGAGGGGAGTAAACAGCTCCCTCCCACCCCAAGCAGGGAGCTGAGTCCCCTCCCATTCTCTCCTTTAGTCTGGGCCCGTCGGGGTCTGTCCTGGCCTTGTGGGAAGGTAAGACACCTTTCTCACCGAGTGACAGCATCATCCATCCTTTCTCTCCTCTCCTGCTACCAAGTGACTGAGACTTGAATTGATGCTCATTAACATGTGCTAATGAGTGTTAGCTGAAGCACCTTCCAAGAGGCGAGCGAAAGGGAAGGAGGTAAGTGAGAATGAAAAGGAGGCCGCTGGGGTAGAGGGGAACCCAGGAGGAGACAGAGAGGGGGAATGTTGTCCCTTGCAGAGCGGGCCAAGTCCAGAGCGAGTCTCAAAGGGGCAATAGAGAATACAGGTTTCAAAACTCCTTTGCCCAGGGTGAATGTGTTTAGAGTTCCCTGCAGGAACAGACTAGAAGGGAAAGCGAGCTTTAGAGGTACCCATTCACCTTGCTGAGAGATTCACCAAAGCCCCTAGGGAGACAGGATGGCCTGGTGGTCAAGAGCAGACCCTTGAGAATCAGGCTGCTTGGTGTGAATCCCAGAATAAGCTGTGTGACTTCGAGCAAATTACATAAACTGTCTCTGCCTCAGCTTTTCTCTTCTGCAGAATGGGAGTGTGGGCTTATTCCTTTTAGAATTGCTCTGAGGATTAAATGAGTTGGGGCTCCTGCTGCCCTTCATGGGGCCAGTGAACAGTGGTTGATTTGGCAAGAAATTTCTCAGTCAGCATTTCCTCCCCTGGGGTAGCTGATGGCTCCTGGAGGGCCTGACCCCGCAGAAAGGCCAATGGGAAAGGCTAAGACAGATGCTATCTCCAGAACACAAGTTCTTAACCACTGTGCTGCACAGACCCCCAGGGGGCCAGGCTCAGCCCTGTGGGCTCTGACACCTGTCATTCAGGCCCCCGTCCCAGATCTGGGTGGGGTGAGAGAGCTCATCCATGGTTCTCCAAGGAGCACCCCTCGCTGCTTTGATCTTCCTGGTGAGGAGTCAAGAGTGAAACTCCCACTGAGATCGGGGGAGATGGTTCTGGGTATGACGGTAAGGTGGCCACGGTGACCTTTAAACTCTACTGGTACAGTTTTGCGTCGTTCTTTTCAGATGCACAGGTGGTCTGTTTCTGGAACGCCCATTCCTGGAGGACCAAGGAGCCCAAGCAGGTGCCTTTGTCCTTTATCCCCAAGTTGAGTCCTGCAGAAACAGCCACGTTTAGCAGTTACAAGTTCCTGCCCTGCAGTCAAAGAATATGGGCTCAAAACCCTCCTGCTGGTGGTGAGGCCTTGGGCAAAGCTGTTTAACCTCTGTGAACCTTAGTAAAAATCAAGGTAATTAGTCTCACAAAGTCAGTGCAAGGACCAAAAATAATGTAATCAAGGGGTTAGCTAGCAAGAACCCCCGCATTCATAGGTAGGTATGATTACCAATGCAAGGATGTTAGGAGGAGTTTTCTTGTTGTTCTGAAATAGTGGCACTTAGGCCTCATCTGAAATCACAGGTATCAGATACCTCGTGTGTTCCTGGCTTGCTCAGTCCACCCACCACCACCCATCAAGACCAGGGATTTTCAGGGGGAGATGTCTGGGTGCAGGAGAGAGAGAGGAGCCTTGGCCTTCAGGGAGTGCAGCATTCGTGGCTGCCCTGAAGCCACGTTTTGTTGGGGGAACCCCCAGAAACCCACTCCAGGTTGTGGGGATGCTTGCAGTAAGGAGGGGGTGGAGATCCCAGCTGGCTCTGGAGTGGGCTGGGGTGAGCAGTATTCTGGAGTTTGGGCCAAACCTGAAGATGGACCGGCACTTGGTTCCGCCTATGAAAGCAGCCTAGACTGCCCTGTCCTGTGTCTACAAGAAAGATGGGTGCCACCACGGTTTTCTGCAGCCCTTGGGGGTTGCTGTGGCTCCTGAGAAAGGTGTATCTAGTTTACAGGGGGAGCCAAAGCCAGATACTTTCTGGTGTCTGTGACATCCTTGGTTTTTAGGAAGCTAGAGCGGCGCTGAAGACTGCTCCAGAAAACCCTTACTCCACTATGCACAGGCCCTCAAACTCCTCAGAGACCAGCAGCAGGAGCCAGAGCCTGGGATGCTCCTACAACCCGAAGGGGACCAGATAGGTAGGAGGACCCCTCATCTCTCCTTGCAGCTCCCTCTGCCCTACCAGAAGGGGATGTCTCGGAGCCAGCCACCCCTTCTTTCCAGACTCAGCCTCAGAACAAGCCCCTTGTCCAGTTGGCAATGGGAAAGAAGAGCTTTGAATTGGAAAAGAGACTGGAGTTCTAGCTGGACTGGTCCAAGTTTCAGAAACTGAACATGTGAGGAGAAACATGGACTCAGGTAAGAAATCACTCAGGGATAGGAAAGGGCAGTTCGAGGAGCATATTTTAAAGCAATGACAGTAAAGACGGAGCACCTTTATCAGCACATCATGAATTAAGACTCTTGCAACTGTTTTCAGATGTCTGGGATTCTGCTTCCCTGCCAGGACTTCTCCTCGAGTTTTGTTATGATGATGTTGACGATGATGGCGAGAACCATGAGGATGCCTTTAAATGCCTTTACAACTACCCTATCAGGTGTGCAGTGCAAGAATTTGACCCATTCCGAAGATAAGGAAGCCAAGGCTTAGAGAGATTAACACCCAACCAAGACCTGGGAGGGGTGGGGTTTCAAGAACACGTTGTCCCCTCCAGTTTCCAGGGTATATGGAGTCTTTGTGGACGAGGTGCCAAGCTCCTGGGCACTATGTATAAAGCTCTTCCCAGACCCTGGCCATCGGAGCCACAGGGCCCCTCCCAGTGTTGAGGAGCAAGGCCCACTGGTTCCAGGATGCCCCCCAGTTCTCCGAGGGCTGGTTCCTCCCTTCACCAGAAGGGCAAACTGGGAACCACCATCACTTTCACATCATCAGCCCACCAACTCATCCTGAGTGCTGTGATCTGACAACAAGACTGGCAAGGAGACTCGCCCAACTGTCCCTCTGCCCCAGGACCCTAGAACCACTCCCTCAAGAAGGGAGGGAGACCTGGTGACTGTGAAGCGGTGAGATGTCAGAGGACAGATGACAAACAACTTTCCAGCCAGGATCCACTGGGCTTCGGTAATTGGCAGAGCTCCTCAGAGCACCTGGTGTTATTTTGCAGCACTTCAAAAGAAACAGTGAGAAGGCGGACCGGTTCCCCCCTATGCCTAGAAATGTTTCTTCCAGATATTGCTTCTTTGGTTTTTATAATGGTCAGGCCTGGGTACCGGAGTGCTGGAGAGCTGGCCTTGCTTCCCAGAAAGGAGGATGAAAGGGATGCAGGAGCCCACAGTTTCCATGGAAACGAACTGAGGTGATGGAGAAAATAGAGAAACCAGAGGAACCCAGAGGTGGAAGCAGGACTTTTGAATAACCCAGTCTGAAGCTTGAGATCTGTGGACTGCTCCCTCTGTGCAAAGGATTTGGGTCACCAGGATAGCAACAGGAGGTGACAGCAGTAGCTGAGGGCTGTTGGGTGATTCTCCCTGGGCAGGGACACAGGGGCTGAGGGTTCAGGTTCCAGAATTCCACAGGCCCCTTTCAGCTCCTGGATCTGCTGTTTATTGGCAGTTCTACCATGTGTTGACTTTGTGACCCTGGGCAAGGTGCCTACCCTCCCTGAGCTGGGATTTCCTCACTGGTAAAATGGGGTATAATCCTAGTAACTGCCTCAGAGGCTTTTGTGAACATTAAGAGAGGTAATGCATGTTAAGGAGGACACAAGGCCTGGAACAAAATAGACATTCAAATGTTGTTATCACGCGGGAGAAAACCAAGGGCAAGTGATGGCGTGTTTAATCCAAATGAGTGCAACCCATCTCCACCCTGGCCAAACCAACGGGTTCAGGGATAGCCAATGAAACATCATATCCCAGAATGCAAAGGAGCAACTGGGGCCCCCTCTCTATTTGTAGACAGTCTGGTATGAAGCTGTGAGGTCTGGAATCGCTGCAGCTATCTTGACACCATGAGTGCAGAGTCTGGAGTAGGAGAAATGGGAGAGGGCACAGAGTAGACACTGAGGATGGAGCCAATGTTGCAAAAGGCAGGGCAGAGAGACTGCAAGAAATCAGGTCACAGGTGACATCATTTGAACTACTTGATCAAGCTGAGCCTGAAGTACCTTTGGCTTCAGTTGAACAACTTCAGTTGCCGGAGTCCATATACCCTTTAGTGTTCAAGCCCATTTATGGTAGGTTTCCTCTCATTTGCAACAAAAAAGGCCTGACTGATAATCCACAAAGAGGACAGTTGTCCTGATGGGAGATGGAAAGGACAACCTTTTGGAGCCAAACTTCTCCCTCCCTCTTTCTCTTAGAGCACCAGGGCCCCTCCTTCACAGACTGTGTGCGCTGTGTGTCTATTTTCCACTCCCTCCCAGCAGGCAGCCTTACAACCTTGCCTTTCATAGTCACCAGCCACAATTTGTCCTCAAGACTCTCCTCTACCTTCCATTTCCCCTAACAACCTTGCCCCTGTTTCCATATTCCAGGCTTCCGAGAGAAGACTCTAGTTGGTCTAGCTTATCTGTTCATGCCAAGCTATTCACATCATCGGCTGCTTTCCTGCCTTGCGAGGTCCCCTAGGGTGGGCAGCCATCTCTTAGTCCAATCAGCTGTGGCTGGGGACAAGTCTCAGGAGGGCAGTGGGCAGCACAGAGAAGCCCATTTCCCTTAGGGACATCCGTGGGCGTGGTGGGATTAACTGACGTCTCTAGTGTTGGGAGCTCAACACAGAAAACTCAAACAAGCCACGGAACACGTCTGCTTTAAAATCGGGTGAAAAACATTCTGACCAACAAATCCAAATATTAAAGGGAGAATCTGGGGGAAGGGTGTCATCTAAAACAGGGGTTGGCAAACTTTTTTTTTTGTAATGGGCCAGATAATGTCTCAACTACTCAACCCTGATATTGTAGTGCAAAAACAGCCATAGATAATGTGTAAACAGAGGAACATGACTCTGTTCCAGTAATACTCCTTTTAGTAAAAAAAAAAAAATTAAGTGGTGTGCCTAATTTGGCCTGTGGGGCATAGTTTACTGACCCTCATCTGTTAAATGAGTTCCAGCTTCTGTCTAACCCTAATGGAACCTATGTAGAAGGATCATTGTAATGATTCCACAAAATAATCCATGTAAATTACTTAGCACAGTGACTGGCACAGGGTCAATGGGTGTTGGCTATTTTTGTTCCCTTTTTTGTTGAGTGGGCTTTGAGAATAACTGGGTTCCAGATCCACCAATGTGCTTGGTTAATCTAGAAGAGTCCCTTCATCATCTCTGAGCGGAGCTGGAAGCTGATCACGTCCCTTCCCAAGGTGAGATGGGATTTCTAAGGAAAGGAGGTGGAGGAGGAAGAGAAAGGCACAGGCAAGGAGGACAAAGGGAAATGTAGCAGCGAGTGAGTCCAGATCTGCAGGGCGTCCCTCCATGTGAGTCGGGCTTGGCTCTGCCTGGGGACCTGGCAGGGAGCTCTGGGCTTGATTTGCAAACAAATTTGCTCTATTTCCTGCCAGCAAAGGACTTCCAGGTGGCCAGGAATTTGGATTCTTTTACCAAGGATGGGAAAAGTGTCCCTAGAGGGGCAGTGTCCCACTTCCAGGATTCCCCAGAATGCAGCAGGGATGTGAGAATGAGATGTTCAGACATAAGGGCTGCGTTTCATTCACTCATGAATTCATTACAAATTTTACTCATTCATGCTGTGGAAAAAATATTGATGAGCCATCTACTTTGTGCCAGGCACTCTACTAGGGCCTAGGGATTCAGTGGTTAGCAAAACAGAAAAGGTTCCTCCCTTCAGGAGTTTAAAGTCCAGTGGGGGAGACAGACAATTGATGAAACCACACAATCACACATACGTGAAAACATAGTGACTACCAGGGAGTAACCTTATCTAGCTTGGGTAGGAGGCCATCCTGAGAGTGAACTAACCAGGAGGAGACGGGAGTGAGCATTCCTGGATTTAAACCCCATGCACCAAAGCTCCATGCTGGCAGAGCTGTAAGAAAGCCAGAGAGGAGGGAGCCCAGTGGGACTAGGAGGCAATGGTGGAAGTGACCCTGGAGACGTTGGCAGGGCCAGACCCTGGAGCACTGGGACCTATCAAAGGGCTCTCTGCCAGCAACAAACATAACCAGTATTGCCTTTTGATGGGCTCCCTCTGGCTTCTGTGTAGGGGGTGACTAGAGAGGAGCGTAAGTGGACATAGGGAAACCTATCAGGTGACTCCTGTGGCTGCCCAGGAAAGATGGCTGGGCCTCCAGATAACTGGCCCAGATAACTGGGCCTCCAGAAAGGGTAGTGGATATGGAGCAAAGTGGTCAGGAACTATGTAGGCAGGAAAAAGGATTTGGCCATGAGTTGGGTATGGACAGTGAGGGAGAGGGACATTCCCTCCTTGGTACTGGCACCTGGGAGAAAAGCAGTTGCTGACTGAGATGGGGGAGGCTGGCGGAGGACTGGACTTGAGAGGGATACACCCTGTGTTTGTTGGATGTGTTGAGTTTGAGTTGTCTTTGAATCAGTCTTTGTATCCCTTTAAAATTCAGATATTGAAAGCCTAGTCCCTAACGTAATGGTATTCAGAGTGGGGTCACTGGGACGTGGTTAGATCGTGAGGGTGGAGCCCTCATGAATAGGCTTAATGCCCTTGTTCAAAAAAAGGAAGAGACATAGGATCTCTTTCTGTACTTTCTGCCATATGAGGATACCAGAAACGGTCATCTGCAAACTACGAAGTGGGTATTCACCAGACACTGCCTTGCTGACACCTTCAACTTGGACTTCCCGGCCTCCAAAATTGGGGGGAAATTGTGTTTGAGCCACCCAGTCTATGGTGCATTTGTTATAGAAGTCTGAGCTGACTGCAACATCGTCTAAGGGAATGCATGAACCAGGCAGGGTATTTATGGACCCAGAGTTTGGAGGCGAGGTCTGGGCTAGAAAGGTGCATTTGGGAATCCCTGGGTATGGAAACTGCACTGGGCCCAGCCTTACACACCTGGCTGCTCTTTGCCTCGGGGTCCTCGGGTACTATCTCCAAGCCCACTTCCCACTGCTCCCATGCCCAGCAGCCACTGAGGGCAGAGGCAGCGGCTCCAAGGTTGAAGGTGTCCATGGCCTTGCTCTTCACCTCCCGGATCATGAGTCTCACTAAAAGTGACAGTTGCCCCTCCTAAGACAGACATGTTGGTTCGAACCATAAATAGGTAAGTTTAAGGTATTTCTTCACCTCATCTCCCGTTCCCTTGAGGAAGATCAGAGCAATTACAGGAAAACAAAGGAAAGATATTTCCTCTGCACATCTATCAGAGAGAATCTGTGACCCTCTGCACCCAGTCTTGCATGTCTCCCCGGCAAGAATGCAGGTAGGAGATTTTGCACATCACTTTTCTTCCCAGCTTGCAGCACCATTCATGGCCCATATGCACTCAAGGGGTGATTGTTGAATGAATGAAGGATTGAATGAAGGTCAGATGAATGGAAAAGGATGTTTCTGTTTATAGAATCAAGACCCCTCTGGAAGCTCTAGAAATGACCCCTTGCATGTACCAGGACAGCTCAGCTCCTGGCAAGCAAGTGCCAGGCAGTGAGCCCACTTGGGCTGCCCTCCGGAGGGCAGGTGCTTGCCCTGCTGGGGGCCTTGGCACCGTCTGGTCAGGAGGAGCTGCCTGGCTCATAGCTGTTCCCTGAGTTGCCTTCCTGAGCACGTCAGTGGGAATCCCCTCACAGGCAGGTCGCAGGAGGGGGCAAGTGGTGAGCAGGCCAAAGCCAGAAGAAGCCGTAGTGGGGTGCTTCATGGAGACTGCAGATTGGCTGTCATTGCTGATGGTATGATACAAGCACCAGAAGCCTGGGACCAGCCCAGCCTGCCAGGGAGATGATCAAGAGGGAAGAGGAAGAATGGGAGTGGAAGGGAGGAAAGAGAAAGGCATGTGATTTTCGAGGCATTGCAGAGCCAGTCCATGATACCTGGGCCTCCTGGGTCTCCTGCTTATAGTAGATGCTAATGGCACCTGCCAAGATCCCCTCTGACAATCGTGCACAATTCTCCAGCTGCTGTGAGTGTTGGGTGCTGAGGCTCAGACCTGGACCAGTCTCCAGAGAATTGTCACCTTGCACAGAGGTGCCCTTCCTACCCCAACCTTGGGACATAGCCAGTGACTGAGAGATAAGAGGTATGGAGGCTTGGTGCCTTGCCTTGAGGTGGGAAAACCCTGCAGTACCATTCATGCCCCAGAGCTCCCGTGGGATCAGGCTGGGGCCAGACTTCAGCAGAACCTGCACCTCCACTTCTTCCTTGCCCAACCTTCTCCTCTGGCTCTTTCCATGCTTTAGAGCCCTTCTATGATAACACACCCGCACAAGACTTTTCCAGCAGACCAAAGACGTGCTCTCAGGCTAAAATTTGTCTCTCACCACTTGTTGAAGCCCCAACCCTTCATCTAGGACCCAAGTTTCTGAAGCTTCCAGAAATACGTGCATTTTCACATACAGGCAGGTACCCCCACGTCTCTCCGTAAAAGTGGCGTGCCAACAAAGCGTTCTCACGCCACCCTTTATCTGCTGTATGAACTTGAACCAAGACTTTGACTTCTCAGAGTTTCTATTTCTGCATCCAAAGACCTGGAATCCTAATACAATCTTGCAGAGTGGCTGTGAGATAGGGAGAGGCAGGGGTGCCTGGTGACAAAGAACCTGGCTTTAGAGTCACACAGACCTGCCCAGCTCTGTGACCTTGGATGTTGTAAGTTTCTCTGGCCTCCGTTTTCTCATCCATGAAATGAAGTTAATAATAGCACTGAAGCCGTAGGTGCCTGAGTGCACTAGTTGCATGCAAAGCACTTCACACGGAGCCTGGCCCACTTAGTGAAATACGAGCCAGAGAGCTTAGCTCTCGCCCAGCACACACTAAGTACTCAGTAAGAAGTGAGTATTGTTATTTTTATTAATGGGAATTATATGTGTCAAGTCAGCTGGTAAAAATGACAATACATACCCTTGGGATTCATGAGAGGTGCCTGAAGAGTGTCCCAGAAGTGTGGCAGAAGGACCAGATGAGGTGTGATGCATAGGTGTGGGCTGGGGAGTGGCAGGCAGACGGAGCCCACTTGGGCTTGCTTCTCAGTCAAACTGGCGTGAACCCTATGGCTACTGTTCTCCAGCAGCCCGCTGCCAGCCGCTTACCTGCTTGCCAGCCATTTGTCACCCTGTCATTGCCTCCACACTTGAAAGCAGATCCCCAGGGATTGTTGACAAAGCACACAGAGCAAGGAGCCACTTTTTTTTCCCCTCTAGGCCTGGAGAAGGGGAGGCAAGGATGGCACCCAGCAAAGAAAGATCAAGGGCTTGTCCTTGGGGAGAGGGCGTCTCAGCAAGATGAAAAAAGGGTCGGGGGCAGATCCAGCCATCTCCTCTGTGTGTGTGTGTATGTGTATGTGTGCATGTGTGTGTATTTCTGTGTATGTGTACGTGTGTGTGTGTGTGTGTGTGTGGTCTGCAAGCTAAGAATGGTTTTTGCATTTGTAAATGGCTGGAAAAAATAAAAGAGGAATAATACTTTGTGAGCATTTATATGAAATTCAAATTGCAGTGTCCATAAATAAAGCTGTTTTGGAACACAGCTGCCTTCATTCCTTTGCTTACTGTTTCTGGCCACTTTTGTGCTACAATGGCAGGGCTGAGTGGTTGCGTCAGACTCTATGGCCTGCAAAGCTGACCATGTTTACTATCTGGTCATTTTCGGATGAAGTTTGCTGACTCCTGACTAAGAGCAAGATTGGGCAGAAAGGGAAATTACATCCACGCTGCTGACAGTCCCCTCCCTTCCCACCCCTGCCAAAAATTCCATCCCTTTTCAGTAAGCTTTCTCTTCCAATCTTTGGTATTTTCTAGACACCTGGCTGATGCAGAGGGAAGGATCGATTAAAAAACTCACACTAAGGTATTGGTGACTTCATGTATTCTTCTCCCAGGAGGTTGGACTACAGGAATAAATCTTTCAATGGTGGCATTTGAGGAACTGTGGAATGTGTCTGATTGTGTGCGTGTGTGTGTGTGTGTGTGTGTGTGTGTGTGCACAGGTGCAAGACCCACACACACACAGATCTGTAATAATAAGGGCGGAAGCTTGGATGCTTCAGAGCCCGGTACCAAAGGAAATGGAGAAATAGATTATTTGGTGGATGAACTACCTGGGAATGAGTAGTATGTGCTCCACATTCTTGGCTTTCAGAACTTCTAAGGACAGGCTAGAAAAGGTGCCTCCACTCTTGATGTGAACTCTAAGCTTCTATGGGCTGGGAATGGGAGGTCATGTCTGTAAACCCAGCACTTTGGGAGGCTGAGGCAAGAGCATCCCTTGAGGCTAGGAGTTGAAGACCTGCTAGGCAACATAGCAAGACTCCATCTCTACAAAAAAAATATTTTAAAACTAGGCATGATGATGCACACTCATAGTCACAGCCACTCAGGTGGCTAAGGCAGAGGGTCGCCTGAGCCCAGGGATTCAAGGCTGCAGTGAGCTATGATTACACCACTGCACTCCAACCTGGGCAATGGAACAAAAAAAATTAAAAACCAGAAAACTCAAATAGGGTGATGAGTACATGAAACGGCAAACTTCACTATGATGCAGTATAGCCACATAACACAATTTCACTTGTATCCCTAAATCCGTAAAAATGCGCAGTTGAAAAAATAACAAATCAACCTCTAGTATGAAGCTCCTTTGATAGCACTGGGAGGTCTGGGAATCTGCGAACGAGTCATGACAATGGGGGTACCACTGCTCTCCCAAGGAGGTGGCCAGGATGCCAACCCCCCTTGGCTTGGCCCAGAGGACAGGTGACAGCTGGCTTTGTGTCCTTGCTGGTCTTGATGCTCGCTGTGCAGGCCTTTGGTGCCCAGGGTGCCAGCTGCTTGCCTTTCCCCAGTGGTGCACCTTTGTCCTCCTCTCTGCTGCCTGCATCTGAAGGTCAGTCACAGCCTGAGAGCGGGACCAGGTCAGCCTGGCTACTGCTGCTCAGCATCCCATAGACTGCGGCATCAGCCATTCTTCCTGCAGGGCTTAATTGGCTGGACAGCTGCAGTAGGCTCTCACTCCAGCCTGCCACTTCCATCCTCTGTTCTCTAAGTTGTGCTCTCAACCAAAACCAGGACGAGCATTCCAAAATGCCAGCCTCACTACACAACTCCTGGTTTAGAATCTTCATTGGCTCTCCATCCCCGAGGGTGTACTCTCCTCCCCTCGGCCTCATCTCCCCCTACTACCCCTCTCCGTCTTCACCCCACCTACACCAAACGCCTCGAGGTTGCCAGAATGTGCCCATTCTTCCCCACCACGTAGCTTTTGTGTTGCTATGTCCTGTGTTGGAAAAAGCTCTTTCCCCAACTTGGCAACTCCCACTCCTCCTTCAAGATTCCCCAGAGCCTCCTTCTCTGACCTCCCTGATAGGATGACTGACTAGGGCTCTGTTAGAAGTTCTTGCCAGTTACATGCTAGTTTCCCCAATGACCCCTCTGTCTCCCAGACTCAGGACACGGCCAGCTTCCAGACACATTCAGCTTCCTCGTAGTGAGTGCTTTCTCTGGGGCTGGTGCTGGGCTGAGTACTTTGTCTGCATGATGTCATTTCATTCTCAGCTGCAAAGTGGGCGTCAGATACTTCCCACTCCTAAGGCTGTGGCAAGAAGTAAACATGGAAATGTGTGTTGGCCCAAGTCCTTGTCCCTGTCAAAGCGTCCTAAATTGGAGCAGTTATTAACAGCTGAGGCCAACCCATCAGAGCTCTGCCCAGAACCTCTCCAATCCCCATAATATGTTCTGGGCCTCCCCACTGAGCCGTGGCTTTGCTCCTCCCAGCTCACACCTGCTACCTCTTCAGGGCCTGCCTGAGTCACTTCACCTGCACGGGATCCAGAAGGTCTCCCATGGGAGCAGGCTGGGGCAGGACTTTGCCTGACATCACGCCTCTGCGTGCCCTCTTTTCCTTCACTGAGCTGCCTCTCTTGCTTTCTACTTGGCTTCTCTTGGTCGAACTTCCTTGGTAAGTTGTTTGTGCCCAAATCCTCATCTCAAGTTTTGCTTTTGGGAGCCTGATCTAAGGCAGGGTTGGCAAACTTTTTTGGTAAAGGACCAGATAATATTCTAGACCTGGCATGGTGGCTCACACCTGTAATCCCAGGACTTTGGGAGGCCAAGGTGAGCAGATCGCTTGAGTCCAGGAGTTCAAGACCAGGCTGGGCAACATGGCAAAAACCCTGTCTCTACTGAAAAATACAAAAATCAGCTGGGTGTGGTGGCATGTGCCTGTAATCCCAGCTACTTGGGAGGCTGAGGTGGAAGGATTGCTTGAGCCCAGGAAGTCAAGGCTGCAGTGAGTCATGAATGTGCCCTGCACTCCAGCCTGGGCAACAGTGTGAGATCCTCAGTCTCTCTCTCACCCCGCCTTTCTCTCTTCTCTCTCTCTATATGTATACACATATGTAATATATATATTCTAGGCTTTGTGAGCCATGTAGTCTCTGCCACAACTACTCAACTCTGTCACTGTAGCACAAACACAACCATAGGCAATATGTAAATGAATCTGCCTGGCTGTGTTCCAATAAATCTTTATTTGTAGAAACAGGTGGGCAGAATTGAGTCTGAGGGCCATAGTTTGCTGACCTTTGACTGAGGACAACACCCCTGGAAGCTGAGTGCTCTAAAGGTGAAATAGCCCACCCCTGGTCACACACTGGTGAGCAGCAGGGCCAGCAGATTGGATCTGGAACTCCTCTGCTGAAATGTGTCTGCAGCAGGGTTTAGTATGCTCTGGTCAGAGAGTGGCTCCAGGTGACTCCAAGGACGAAAGAAACAATGGTGCAGGTGAAAAAGTTCTGATTGGCTTAATTAGAAGGAAGGGTAGCAAATATATGGGGGTGAACGCATCTTCCCCTAAAGCTCTGGGTGATTTTCACTAAATTATTAATTAGTTCATTCGCCTTCATAGAGCACTGGGTGGACTGAGAAGAACTGGAATCCTTTATGAAACCAAATGTGTTGGAAAGATTTTAAAAATAGCACCAGGCCCTTTGACAAGTCTAGCGCTAATTACCCTGAAGCTCTGATACCCCTGCTGATGTGCCACTGAAGCTTCTGCTGTGATCTGCACCCTCCCAAACCCCAGCTTTGCATCATGAAGTCTTTGTTGAGAAGGGAGATGAGGCTACTAGTATGTCCTAAATTTTCCAGCTCTGGCCAGGGAGCTGCCTCATTATCGGGGTCTCCAACCTCAATGGGACTTTAATGGTGATATGCGGAACCTCATTTTCTGCACACATTGGAGTGTAGGGTGGGGGCCTAGGGGAGCTCAGGACCCCTGTGCCTGGTGGCTGGCCAACCTGGAAGGCTTTCTGATGAACTGTGTGTGTGCACCTGTATATGCATGTGCAGATGCAAACTTTTTCTTTGCAAAAATCATTTATTCTTTTTTTTTTTTTTGAGACAGGGTCTTGCTCTGTCACCCAGGCTGGAGTGCAGTGATGTGATCGTGGCTCACTGCAGCCTCGACCTCCCAGGCTCAAGAGATCCTCCTACCTCAGACTCCCAAGTAGCTGGGACTATAGGTGCATGCCACCATGCCTGGCTAAGTTTTTGTATTTTTTTGTAGAAAGGGGGTTTTGCTATGTTGCCCAAGCTGGGCAAAAATAATTTATATTCATTGTAGTAAATACTGCTAAGCAAAACCAAGACATCACCCACAATCCCACTCCTTGGGTTAGCCATTATTAGCATCTTGGTTGATTTTTGTCCAGTCTTTTGCCTCTGCCTCTGTGTAGGTAAATGTTAACATTTACACATTATTTGTTTACTACAAAAAATTGAGATTCTCCTGTATGTCTTGCTAAGTTCTGATGATGGATTTGACATCTTTCCATGTCGTTGCACACTCTTCTACAATGTCTTTTAAAAATGACCGTGCGTGGTACGTCCTTTGCGTGTGTGTAATATAACTTCCTTTTTCAATTGCCTATTATTAAGGAGAAGGTGTTGTTTGCAATCATTTTGGTATTATAAATAAAGTAGCTAAATCTATGTTCAAGTTCTTGACGATCTTCTTACATTTTTACGTGTGGAGTGGCTAGGGTTTAGGGGAACTTTGAGGGAGGTTGGAACCTTACCCATCTTAAGTTATCCATAGCTCCTTGGCACAGACACTCTAAGGAAATAATTAGAAGCACATGATTAAAGATTGAATGGCTGGGTTTGAATCCCAGCTCTGCCTGGCAAAGGTTAGGGACCCTGGGTATTTTCCTTAACCTCGGTTTCTTCGTTTGTCATGTGGGAACAACAGTACCCCACTCTGTCGTGTTGCTATGAGGTTGATCTGACTGCCTGGCCCTTCTCCAACCTGGTCCTCCAGCTCTCACCTTGCCCTAGTCCTTAGCCTCACTGATGTGTTCTGCCACAGGACCTTTGCGCCTACTTCTCCCACAGTTGGATGCCTTCCTCCAGATTCCACGTGGCTCCCTCCATCACATCACTCAGGTCTCGGCTCAGATGACCCCTTTACTGACCCTCTTCCCTCGTCATCATTCTCTGTTACTTTACTGGGTTTTATTTGTCTTAGACTGCTTGTGACCTCTTGTCATCTTACATATCTGTTTGGTTTTTGTCTATTACCCCTTCCCAAGAATATAAGTTCCTCGAGGACAAGGAGCTTATCTTTTCCCAGGGCCATGTCACCAGTATCTGAATTATGTTGCCTGTTGCATAGAAGGTGCTCAAACATGACTTAAATTTTTTTTTCCAAGAAGCCGCTAAATGCTAAATATCTGCTTCGTTTTCTCTGTGCCTATTGCTAATACTTACCACATTCACAAAGACTCTATCAGTATAATTTCCTACAATCTTAAATTAAGTAATTGGATTCTCTCCGTCTATCCCATCCAGAGACCTCTGTTGAAGAGGAAGTTTACTCTCTAAGCTGGCTACAAAGTCATTATTCTTTGATTTCTTCTTCTTCTTCCTCCTCCTCCTCCTTCTCCTCTTCCTCCTCGCCTTCTTCCTCTTCCTCCTCCTCCCCCTCCTCCTCCTCCTCTTCCTCTTCTTCTTCTTCCTCTTCCTCTTCCTGTTCCTCTTTTTCTTCCTCTTCTTC